TAAGTCTTCAATATTACTCGATTTACTCAATATTCTCCAGTATCATTTTACAAGCGTTATGTTTAAATTCAGATCCAATATGCATTACTTATCACTTACCTCTTTTTTTTTTTTTTTTTTTTGAGACGGAGTCTGGCTCTGTCGCCCGGGCTGGAGTGCAGTGGCCGGATCTCAGCTCACTGCAAGCTCCGCCTCCCGGGTTTACGCCATTCTCCTGCCTCAGCCTCCCGAGGAGCTGGGACCACAGGCGCCGCCACCTCGCCCGGTTAGTTTTTTGTATTTTTTAGTAGAGACGGGGTTTCACCGTGTTCGCCAGGGCGGTCTCGATCTCCTGACCTCGTGATCCGCCCGTCTCGGCCTCCCAAAGTGCTGGGATTACAGGCTTGAGCCACCGCGCCCGGCCCCACTTACCTCTTTTTGAATCCGTATTACACCTGCCCTCCCCGCTACCACCCCCACAACTCTTTTCCTCCCATGACATTTATTTGTAATTTTTCTTTAGAATTTCCCATATTTGGGATTTGGCTAATACCTTCCTTATACACTTATTTAACATACCTATCCTATATTTACCATATCTGGTGGTAAGAAGCTGGATGAGTTTCAGATGAAATCTTTCTGGCAAGCATATTTCGTAGGTGGTGCTTGTATTCAGGGAGGCATATAATATCACTTTTATATAATGTCCTGTTTTAGTGGTATAAAATTATGGGATTTACATTTAGCCTGATCCATCCAAAATAAAGTTCTTGATTAATCTTTCACTTAATGATTTTAGCAGCCATTGATGACCTTTACTTAATTCTATTATTTTACCAAAGTTTATGAAACAGTAACTTTTCTAGTTCCATATTCCTTCTGCATTTACTAGCAGGATTCTTGCTAAAAAAAAAAAAAAAAAAAAAGCTTTCACCAACTACTTGGTTGACTCTTAAAACTCACAAAGTCAAGATAAATGTTTGATCCCTTGCCCTTATTCCCTAATTGTCAAAATAATGCATTGATGGCATAGCAACCTCCGAAGGTAATCAGGTTGATTAAAAAACAAATCCTATAAATTTAAAGATTATTAGTGCAGTTTTGTTATGTAAACGTATTGCATAGTGGTGAGGTCTGGGCTTTCAGTGTAACCACAAGCTTAATAATGTGCATTATAGACATTAATTTCTCATCTCTAACTCCCCTTCCACCCTCCCACCCGTCCAAGTCTCCAATGTCTATTAATCCACACTCCATGTCAATGTGCACACATTATTTAACTTCCACTTATAAGTGAGAACATGCTATAGTTAACTGTTTCTGAATTATTTCACTTCAAAAAATGACCTCCAGCTCCATCCACGTTGCTGGAAAACACATGTTTTTTAAATAGTTGAGAGTATTCCATTGTATGTATGTACAAAACACACACACACACACACACACACACACACACATTTTCTTTAACCATCCATGGAAGGACATTTAGGTTGACTCCGTATCTTTGCTACTGTGAATAATGCTGTGATAAATATCTGAGTTCAGATATCTTTTCTTGTATAATAATTTCTTTTCCTTTGGATAGGTACCCAGTAGTGAGGCTGCAAGACTGAATGGTAGTTCTTTTTTTAGCTCTTTAAGAAATCTCCATACTGGCCGGGCGCGGTGGTTTACGCCTGTAATTCCAGCACTTTGGGAGGCCAAGGTAGGCGGATCACAAGGTCAAGAGAGCGAGACCATCCTGGCTAACACGGTGAAACCCTGTCTCTACTAAAAATACAAAAAAAATAGCCGGGCGTGGTAGCAGGCGCCTGTAGTCCCAGCTACTCGGGAGACAGAGGCAGAAGAATGGCGTGAACCCAGGAGGCAGAGCTTGTAGTGAGCCGAGATCGCACCACTGCACTCCAGCCTGGGCGACAGAGCGAGACCCGTCTCAAAAAAAAAAAAAAAAAATCTCTGTATTGTTTTCCATAGTGATTGTACTAATTTACATTCCAAGAATGTATAAGCATACCCTTTTCTACACAATCTCGCGAACATCTGTTATTTTTTAACTTTTTTGTAACAGCTAAAACTTCTGACTGGTGTGAGATGGTATTTCATTGTGGTTTTAATCTGCATTTCTCTGATGATTAGGGATATTGAGCATTTTTTCATATGCTTCTTGGCTATCTGTGTGTCTTCTTTTGAAAAATGACTATTCATGTCTTTTGCACATTTTTAATGGAGTTTTTTGTTATGTGGTGGTGTTGTTGATTTCTTTGTAAATTTTCGATATTAGTCCCCTCTAGGATGAACAGTTTGCAAATATTTTCCCTCATTCTGCAGGCTGTTTGCTCCGTTGATTACTTCTTTTGCTGTGCAGAAGTTTTTGCTTAATAATTAAGTCCCATTTGTCTATTCCTGGTTTTGTTGCTTTTGCTTTTGAGGTCTTAGTCATGAATTCTTCGCCTAGACCAATGTCCAGAAGAGTTTCATCAAAGTTTTCTTCTAGTATTTTTCAGGTCTTACCCATAAGTCTTTAATCCACCTGAGTTCATTTTTGTAGATGGTGGGAGACAGGATTCCAGTTTCATTCTCCTGCATATGGCAATCCACTTTTCCCAGCATCACTGTACCCATCATCTGGATTCTCTATTCTTTTCCACTCATCTATTCATGTATTTTTATACCAGTACCATGCTACTTTGGTTACAGTAACCTTGTAATATAATTTAAAGTCACATAAGATGACTCCAGCTTTGTTCTTTTTGCTTAGGACTGCTTTGGCTATTTGGGCTTTTTGGTGCTTTTTCTTATTTTGAGAGGCATCATTATGAACTAATTTGTTTCAGTTATTGCTCTTTTTAAGGCTCAGAGGTACCCATTTTGAGGCGGTGGGAGTCCCCTTCAGGTCGGCTCTTGGACCCTTTTGGTACAACTCCAACAGTCTTTGATAGCTTCTTTGTGTTCCACTATCAAACAAGGTTCCAGACTCGCAATCATCCATTTCCCTAAGAAGCCTTGATCTTTTCAGTGGAAAATGGCATTTTAAAGACCAAAACCTAGGAGTTATAGATATACATTTGCTATTGACTTACTACTGCTTCTAGGCCCTTTCAGTGCACAAAGCTAGGAAATAGAAAAAAAATCTAATCGTGCATTCATGCTGATTTTTTTCATTTCAAATCAACCACCAAGTTTTACTGAGCTTCTTAAATCTTGTTTTTGTTTATTTCTTTGAGACAGGGTCTCACTTGTTGCCCAGGCTGAAGTGCAGAGGTGTGATGTCAGCCTCTACCTCCCAAGCTCGAGCCATCCTCCCACCTCAGCCTCCCAAGTAGCTGGGACTACAGGCGCATACCACTACGCCCAGCTAGTGTTCGAATGTGTTTTTTTTTTTATTTTATTTTAGCAGAGATGGGGTTTCACTATGTTTCCCAGTCTGGTCTCAAACTCCTAGGCTCAAACAATCCTCCTGCCTCAGCCTCCTAAAGTACTGGGATTACAGGCATGAGCCACTGTGCCCAGCCTTAGATCTTATTTGTATCTCTTTTTACTTATGCTGAAAACTACAGTTTCTAATAATATTACTTGTTTTACCCAACTATATATAGGAATTTCAACATAATAATATCAATATTTTTACTAAATATAAGACTACTAAGTGCAGGTTAACGTATCTTTGTAATTTTTTTTGTCTCTACGCTATATCCCACTAGAGATGCAGAGTCAATAATACTGTTTTAAAATTACTTAAAACAATACTTCTCTGTGTAGTTTTGCCATCACCTAGATATATACCTAGGTTCATTTCTTTCTAGGTGCTTTTGCATTTTACAGATAGTTTGTGTATTTGTTTTAAGATTTAATTTCTAAAATATTTATATTGGCCAGGTGTCGTGGCTCACGCCTGTAATCTCAGCACTTTTGGGAGGCCGAGGAGGGTGGATCATTTGTCAGGGGTTCAAGACCAGCTTGGCCAACATGGTGAAACCCTGTCTTTACTAAAAATACAGGAAAAAAAAAAAAATGAGCCAGGCGTGGTGGTGCGCACCTGTAATCCCAGCTACTCGGGAGGCTGAGGCATGAGAATTTCTTGAACCCAGAAGGCAGAGGTTGCAGTGAGACGAGATTGTGCCACTGCACTCCAGCCTGGGTGACAGAGTGAGACCCTGTCTGAAAAAATAAAAATAAAAAAAATTTACATGGTTCTAAATTCAGAATTATAAAAACAAGGTACCATCAGAAGAGCTATTTGCCATCTCTTTGCCTTTTCCTTCCCTTCTCCTATAGGTAACCATTTTAATTCGTGTTTAGTTCATCCTCCCATTATTTCTTTTTGAAAATATAAACAAGCATATGGAGAAAATGGTATTTTAAGGACCATAATTTGGGCACTATAGATATTCAATGCTATTGACTGTTTATGTATTTGTGTATATATACAATATTTATATCTACCCTTCCTTTCTTCCTAAAAGTTAGTGTATTATATATATATATTCTTACGCAGCATGCTTTTAACAGAAAGGTAAATTTTGAAAGTACCCTGAAGCAGTATAACAAAATCTTCATTATTTTTTGTAATTGCAAAATGCTTCCCTTTGAATGTTTCATTATTTACTCAGCCAGTTCTATGCTGAAGGACTTTTGTGTTTCCAGTGTATTGTTTTTACAAAGAGTGCTATAAAAAGTAGGTGTGCAAAGGAGTTATTTCTTATTTTGAGTACAGATTCCAGGAAGTAGAACTATTAAAACAAAGAATAAATATAAATGTGATTGCCCGGGCGTGGTGGCTCCATCTATAATCCCAGAACTTTGGGAGGCTGAGGCAGGTGGATCACCTGAGGTCAGGAGTTCGAGACTAGCCTGGCAAACATGGTAAAACCCCATTTCTACAAAAAAATTAGCTGTAATCCCAGCTACTCAGGGGCCTCAGGCAGCAGAATTGCTTGAACCCAGGAGGCAGAGGTTGCAGTGAGCCAAGATCATACCACTGCACTCCAGCCTGGGCTACAAGAACGAGACTCCTTCTCAAAAAAAAAAAAAAATATATATATATATATATATAAATGATTTTGATAGATACAGCAATGTCCTTCTTGCCTTCAAACAGTAACAAGTCAGGTAGAAAAAATGGGTCTGAAATTTGGTAGTACAAGAGAGATTTTCATTTCTAATTCTTCCTATAAACATTTCCCTCTGGTATAAATTAATTTTGAGTTGTTATATTGACAAAATAAATGATTTAACATATATTGCTGGATAACTTTAGTTCTATATAAAATTTATTTTAAAATAAAAACAGCAGGCATAATAAAAAGTAAAAAAAAAAAAAAAAAATTAAAAGTAAAGTGGGATGAATGGTTTACAGACATGAGCTCTTTCCTGGATGTTTCCCTTCTGAAATTCTATGATTTTATGAGCTAAGCTCTTATGGGACTTCCTAAAATAGGACAGATTTCAACCATGTTAAAGTAAATGGAATAAAAAAAGCCTTTACACCAAGCTTCTTTTCATTCCTATTTAATTCTATATTTTTAGCAAGTTTTGATATCTACAGAAAAGACAGTAACCTTTGTTTAAATACAAATCCTTTTTCTTAGAATAATATATTACATATATAACGTACGACTAAATTTGCAGATCCAATGCCAAATACTCTACGTAGGCAGTTTAACGAGGACTTCCTGTTACCAACTAGCTCCAGTGAAAATGATCTTCCTTTAATCTAAAGAACAGGCATCTAACAGGCAGAACCGGATTCTCCAGGTGTGAAGTAAGCAATCTATTTTCACTTGCTATTAACAGCAAAAGTACAACTTTATCTCTTATTTGACTTCATTATTTGGCTTTCAATTAACAACATGAAAACTATACAGAAATTAGCCTGTGCCCTATAAGATAGAGATTTAGATAATTTGCTCAAAACATTACATGAGATGTTCAGATTTTCTCTCAAAGGCAGGACTCCAACACGGCAGGTGGAAAACCAACAAAAGGAAGAAGACAGAAAGGTAAATAAATTACTCTTTTTTGTACCTTTTAATATGAGGTATCCATAGACTGAAATCTGGTTATACTGGTACATTTAAAAATCGCTCAACAAATAATGAGGGTTACTTGTTTTACTCAGATTTGGACAGGGGTACCGGTAGCTGATTTGTTCACATATATTACTGACATGCTGACTGGGATCTGGGTATAAAGCTCTTGAAAATAGACTACTGTAATAAAAATCAACTTCAGAGAAAAGAAAAATTTTTTAAGTCTTTTAAAAAGTAAGCTCTCATTTTAGAAATACTAGAAAGTCAGATGTAAAAACAAATCTAAAATTATTTCTTTTATAGACACTATGAATGTGCTTACTTCAGAGAACATTTTTATATTTAACTCTGAAAAGCAGCTTATACCCAAATTTGACACATACATATAACCTTAAAAATCTGAGATAATTTGCTATAATGGTCTTAATTGCTTCATTGTTGTTTACTAGACTCTCCTAAAATTTAAAAAATTAGAAAATAATCTTGTGAAAGGGCTACCATAAAATATCGAAGTACTTACTAACCTTTATAATATTTCAATTAGTACATTAAAAATACTTAAGTTACACCATTTAACATAAGGGTTACCATTTAATTGATAGCTTGAAAAATTTAAATCAGCATCATTTAAATACAACCTATGTAGATAGGTTAGATACTTTCAAAGTTATAATTGTTACTATGTTAGAATTTAATAAATATTCCATTTCAAATCAAAATAATAATGACTTTTTTATGTATTTTAAAAGTGGACTTGAGAATTGGCCATATAATACCTAGAACACATTCTCTTCATAGCTATGCAGTTTTAAATGTAATATAAAAATCATTTTATGTATGTACAGGTTACTTAAATCAGATAAAAGTTCAAAAATTATACAACTCTTATATTTAAACAAAATGATCTTAATATGTTGTTAAACAAGTTAATTCAATAACTTATTTACACTAAATAAAAAGTAGGAAAAAAGCATTGAAAGCTTATATTGCAAAAAAAAAGAGTCAGATTATTCAAAATTAGACAACATATGCAATTTGTATTTTTTTTAGTTTTTAGAAACTACTATTTGGCCCTCACTTTAGCAGTCAAAGAGGTTAACATTACAGTAAGATCCTCTGCTTTCACTTGCACTAGAAAAATGTTGCAAGTTGACTTCATATACAAAAGCAACAGAATATTCTGTTTTCTCTTGGGTAAAAACTGGTCACATTTCTTGAAATGTTTTATTTAATCATTACAGTCACTATCAAAAGAAATGGCCTACTTTTAAAAAAAAATCTATAAATACACTAAGTATCTATCCCAGCGCATATTTCTTAAAGTACTAGGTAATTTTTACTCATGTTTCTATTTCTAGGGATTTTCAGTGTCTGTAATAGGGCAGAGAACCTTGTATTTGAGTTGAGTCACACCAGTTTACTTTTCTATTTCCCAGAACAAGTTGTCAAAGCTGATTATCACACATACGAGTTATTGTTCTTTCTTTTTTAAATATAATGTTTAAGTTCACAGATATAGTTCTTGCCAGTAAAATCCAAAACTATAAAGCAATGCTGTAAGTTAAACATAATAAAAGATGATTCATATTTGTATGTAATTCTTCCAATGTAATAAATTTAAGGTACAGAATAGACTGCATAAAATAGTAATTTCATCAATTTCACCTAGTCTAAGCAATTAAATGATTTCACAACTAGGAGCTTCATATTTTATGCTTATATGAATCCCGTCCTTGCATGTTTTCAATTCTAATATGCATGTTTGTCTTACTTTGCCTAGTATTCTAATTAATGAAGATATAAGATCAATAAATTGGATAGTTATACATATAGTTATGAGTATGCAACTACTAGAAAATGCAATTTATATATAGCATATAAACAGATCTGAGTACCTATCTTAAGTCAATTTCTACACAGATGAACAAGGATTTAGGGAAACATTCTCAATTATGTTAATTCTGTAAAGGTAAGCAACTATGACTTCAGTCAAAATGCACAGATACAGAAGTTACTCCCTCTTTCTGTAAACATACAGAATTTGATGTAATCATAAGTTTAAAAAAGACAAATTTTAAAACAACATCACTAAATTTTAGAGTAAAAAAGAGAAGTTTTCAGGTGCCAGAAATGATGAGGAAACATACTTAACGCCAAAATGAAGAGTAGTAATTAAACCTAATTCCACTGGGCAAATATTTTACCTTAAAGCTGAGGTTTAGAATTTGCTGCATTACAGGGAACTAAAACTGAGCTTCCTAGATGAAGCAGTTAACTAGGAATAATACAACATAATCTGTATACAAAGACAGGAATAACTCTGTTGACTCACCCAGGATTATAGCAGGAAGTGAGATCCACTTAGGCTACAAAAATCACTAGAGAAAAATAAGGCCTACATTCTCCTACCTGTGCTATAATGAGCAAACTCCATGGGGCGTTGGTAGTCACAATCAAAAAAATAGCCTCAATGTATCCATAATTTATCAGGACACTTAGAGCATTCTTGTATAACTCCTCAATGAAGCTAGGCTACTGACGAATTTCACTAAATACACTTGCCCACCTTTAACAGTCAGTGACCACAGCAAACATAGGAAATTACTCCTAAGAAACTAGAAATAACCTAATTATGGAAAGGATCTTTCACATAAATATTCTCTAAATGTTCAAAAGAAATACAGGCATAGGATTCATTAACCAAGACAAACATAGTATAACCTTTATAGCTCACTTTAAATATCATTTCCATAATATGCATGCCATGATGTATAACACTGAAAGGAAACCCGATTCTATTTCCATGTTTTGCCTTGAATATCAATAATGTATACAGATCTAAAAAGAAAGCAGGATATTTTCTTGTTTTTTGTTTGTAAATTTATTAAGATTAATAAATACAAAGGACATATTAATATATTTTAAAGGGCTCCTTAAAGTACCTTTTATTCAATATAAAAGTGTGGTGCTTGTTCAGGGAATATTACATGAATAAAAATCCAGGAAAAAACAACCTTTATACACGTCAGACTCCAATATCCTGCTTTCCAAAATCAGTAGCAGTAAAATGCACCTTCTCAAAGGCACTTCACAGGAAAATTTACCTTCCCAAAGGCCTGTGTACACTGTGCTCCAATATCAATTTGAAATATCGTCTATTTCTTAAAATATTTTACAACTATGATGCTTTAGAAAAAAGCTTTTGATTACTTTATTTCTAATTTTTTAAAAAAGAGGCTGGGTATACTGGCTCACGCCTATAATCCCAGCACTTTAGGAGGTTGAGGCGGGAAGACTGCTTGAGCCCAGGAGTTCGAGGTCAGCCTGGGCAACATAGCGAGACCTCATCTTCACAAAAAATTTAAAAACATCAGCCAAGCATTGTGGCATGCAACTTTAGTCCCAGCTACTCGGGAGGCTGAGGGGGAAGGATCGCTTGAGTCTGGGAGGTAGAGGCTGCAGTGAGTCGCAATTGAGCCACTGTACTCTAGCCTGGGTGACAGAGTGAGATGGTATCTCAAAAACAAAACAAAGCAACACACCCAGAAAAGGAGAAAGATCTTTCCAGTCATAAAACCATTCGAGGGAGTTGTTTCAGGATTTGTTCCAAACCATGCAATCAAGGAGAAAGTTCAAGACGTTGTAGTTCTTGAGGAATGTGAAAATTAAAGATTGTTAAAAGCTACTGAGCCATTGTATAAATATAGGACTTAACTTTCATGAATACAAAATCAAAATCTTTTGTTTGATGCCACTTTCTCTTTCTCTCTCCTCTGAGCTTCTAACACTGTTACTCTTTCTTTTTTAGGGGTGCAAGTCAGTTTAAAAAAAAATAATGCAGCAACTAGCACTTCAGCTATATATGCTGTAGCTTTAAGAATTCATAGTCAAGGTAGAAGGATCTCTTGAGGCTAGGAGTTCAAGACCAGCCTGGACAACAAAGTGAGATCCTTTCTCTATTAATTTATTAATTAATTTTTAAAAAATAATTCATAGTGACAAGCTAGTATAAGAGATCTGGTTAGATGACTATGACTTGAATCAGAAGAAAATATAAGAATCCCAATCTCCATATAGTACCAAAGATAAAATTCACTATTTCTTAGAGAGACTTTCTGTAAACATAAGTCTGTGAGATCCAAATTATTTTTCTTCTTTTATAGTGTAAAGTGATCAGTTTGGTCTGATTATATTAAAGAGCCTAATAAAGCTTCAAACAACAACATTACTTTAGAAACTATATGCTATATTATCTCCTGCTGGTTTTTCTTTTAAATAGATATAGTATGTATATTAGTAACATAACACAGTATTTGATATAGATAAACATTATTTGTGTGTATTTCACTAGGATAACCAATTTCTACTAAATACACAATAGGGAAGAAAACAGATTTGCAATCAAGTAGACATGCCTAAACGAAGCCTCTGCCACCTTTCAGTTGTGTGGCCTTAAGCAAGTCACTTTAAAACTCCCCTTATTTGGACACTGCTTTTCTTGGACTGGACTGCTTCTTTAATTTTCTTAATGTCTGAAAGGCCACGAAAATAATACAAAGAAAATGGAGAAAATAAAGTTATTAAAGAAATTATTTTTTAAAAAGCAAGTCCCTAAATACATGAGTTTGTAGGCTGAAAAGACCAACTAAATGTTTACCAAATAAATGCATCAAGACCTACCCCAGATCACATTATTATGAAATTTCAGAACACCAGGAATATGAAAAGAAAAGGTCAAGAATTTCATGAAAGGAAATATAAAACCCAGTCTACAAAATATCAGAAAACAGAGGACAGAATATTCAGGGGTAACAAAACTAGAAGACGTAGTAACAAAACTTTCAAAATTTTGAGGGAATATAATTTCAAACTGAAAATTTTATCCAAAGAAAATATAGTATTCAAGTATAGGACAGAACAAAAATATTTTCAGTAATGCAAATTATCATTGCATTTATATTTTGAAAAGA